TCAAAAGTGCTGGGTTTGGTGACTTGCGCAATATGTTGAAAACAGTTTAGCTTCAGCATTTGGGATCCCTGTGGTTGTTCACAATGAAAAGATGCTTTTGGCGTGCTGTTTGGCGCTCACACAGAAGTTGAGCTAAGCTTACCTGCCACAGGCCACAGGTGGTCCTTTCGGGCTTGAAAGATCTTTTGACAAAGGTCTCCACAGGTTGCATGGTTGGCCCCAACATGAAGATGTCCCCTGGCATAGCACCTTTGAGAAGATTCATAGGGATACGTCGAAGATTCGATTAAGTCACAGTAGAGCCAGAATGGGAACCTTGGGAAAGTGACTGTCTGTCTGCCTGTCAACTAAGCTGTGCCTCGTCTCGTTGCGGCTTGACCATCTTTGCAAGATCACTGCTGGAGCGTTCAGTGGAATCTCAAGGGAGGAAAAGACGGTCAGAAGGTACGGAGCTCGAGACTCCCACTTCCAAAAGCGGAAGAGGTTCAAGGTAATCCCAACGACCGAACATTTCCGACCAATCAGAGTCCACTGACCCAGCTGCGTCAGACAGTGAAGCCGATTGATCCACCGCCTGTAGACCCTGAGACGCCTGATCTTCGTCAAGCCATCGACTTAGTCTCGGATAAGCGTGGACCTCGCACGCTTGCGCACTGAAGGCCGAAGATACAGCATGGATAATCAAAGTACACAAGAACATGGGCCACCCAAGTGCCGCCAAACCCAAATAGGATGCCATCAAGAAATTGTGGAAGCTCCCTTCGTTGTTCCACCTGTGCAGAATCCAAAGGACCCGAACTTGCAAAGCCCACACTTCATGAGGATCTTGAATTTGGAGATGTCATTGGCGTGGACGGAAAATTAACTGGACCAACAAAGATGGCCATCAGTTCTTTTTCTACCATTTCGTAGACCAGAGTGCCACTTTCCATACTGCGGTTTCGACTCTCAGTCATACCTCGCAAGATGCCATTCGAGCGGTTGTCCAAGGGTGGATTGGATGGGCAGGACCCACGGGAACCCTGGTCGTTGATGCAGGAACCGAATTTGGAACGGAAGTGTTTCATCAATTCCTCCAAAAGAGCATGATATGAAACTTCGTATGATTGCCCCTGAAGCACATTGGCAAAACGCTAGAGTATAGGAGGGATTCTGCAAGCCATTTGGAACAAAATGGATGAAGAGAAGGCCATTCTCACCACCGAGGACTTGGACCAGGCACTTGCATTTGCAACCCAAACCAAGAACAAGTGGTGCAGACACCGACACTATCCCCCTCAAACGCTCGTCTTCGGAAAGCTGAGTAGATGTCCTGGGGCCATCAAACGCTCTCGCTCTCCAAGAGACCACCGAAGGTCTAGCCTTTCGAGAGAGACTTGCTACCCGCGAGAGAGCCAGACGAGCTTACAGCGCACTGCCAGCGTTCTCGTCTTCCATCCCGGAGATTGCATCATGGCGTGGAGAAAGGATACTCACTGGTTTGAAAGTCATTCTTCAAGAAGATAAGAATTTCCTTTGGGCGGGCAGTTCTGGGAAACAGGTTTTTCGACTAGCTCCCGAGCATGCGCGGCCACTGTCAGCAGTGGAGGAAGTTCGTCGTGGCAAGGTTTTGACATCACATGGTATATCAAGTGAGCTTGAAAACCTCCGTTCCGGAAATACTCCATTTGTCGATGTGTCATCAGACCAGAACGGTCTCTCATAATTCCAGAACAACGCCGTAATGAAGAACCGAGTAGTGAACAACCTGATGGGGAACCCGGAACCTCAGACCAGGACAAGTCAATTCCAGAATCCGAAGAAGAATATACACCATCCGTTCCAGAGCCTTCTCTTCAGGAAATAGGGAATCCAGAAGCTCCAGAAAACATCCCTGCCCCGGACCATGGAGACGATGATCTCTTTTGCGAAGCGTATGCTCTCACAGAAGATCAGGCCTAGGCCTGGGAATTGGAGGTCAACATAGATCTTATGGACATTGATAGATGGAGAAATGATCACCATCCGGAACAATTCGCCTTTTTGGTGTCAGCTGCGAAGAAGCAAAAGACAGAAGTGAAAATGACAACCCTGACATCCAAAGAAAAACAACAATTTGTTGAAGCCAAAAACAATAAGGTTTAAAGTTGGCTTGATACCAAGACAGTGTGTCGCATTCTCCGACACCAAATACCACATCAAAACATGCTTGAATGCAGATGGATTGACTTGGAAAGACGCAGAGAACAACGCACACGTGCATAGTGACAGTAGCTCCAACGCAAATCGAAAGGCAAAAGCACGCTTGGGGATCCTGGGATACCAGGATCCACAAAGAGACAGTCCACACAAAACTGTCGAGAAATCTACCATTGCGACTGTGTGTTAGCAACCAATGGTCAATAGGCAGCTTTGATGCCTTCCTCCGAGGGAGTGCAGACCTCGTGCTCTTGGCCTGGAACCTCCTCCCGAACTTCGTGAAAAGATGAAGTTGCAACCATCAGAAGTTTGTCGCCTTTTGAAAGGCGCCTACGGCCTATAGTGGACGCACCTCTCCTATGGTTTCGAGAGTTGACCAAATTGTCCAGGCACCGTTTGATCCCTGCTGCTTCGTGCTCTTTGATAAGAACCATCAAGCAAAAGGTTTTATCGGTGTACATGTTTTCATCAGAAAATCAATTGTCTCGAACAAAAGTTCCCCTTCGGAACGATTTCACCATCACAGTAGACCAGTCCCAATATGTGAAAGATATCGCTCCCATAGACAAAGATTGAAGAAAACATATGGAAGAACCCATCAATGAACAAGGTTAAAGACAAGCCTTCCGTGGTTTGATTGGCAGGTTGCAATACGCCTCAGTAAACACCAGGCCTGACCTGGGTAGCCGGCTAAGCTTTCTTCAGAGCAAAATCAACAATGGCCAGACCCAAGATCTTGTGGAAGGAAATAATCTATGCCAAAGTCCATTCGGGGGCCAAATGTAGATACCAGCATATTCCTAAGGAAGATGTTCCTCGCTTCATTCGCATCAGAGAGAACACAATTTTCCCACCAAGGTCTCATGATAATGACCGCGCATCAAAGAACAGGCCTGAATCAGAAGAGCGCGTCGTAAATCCCATTGTCTGGCCCTCCAAGAAGATCCAAAAGGTAGCTGTTAGCACTCTTTCTGCAGAAGCAATGGCGCTCGCAGGAACCATGGACATTTTAGCATGGTGCCGTCTCTACTGGGGATGGTTGCCAGTGGCAACTTGGGGGTAAGACTTTGGTGAAGCTTCCTCCGGCTTTGTCCGCATTTAAAGATGAAGAAACGCTAGATGATCCGAATCAGTCCCTAAGTGACAATCTTTTCAAACTGCAAGAACTTGGAAAGAAAGATTCCATCATGGCCACTGACTGTAAAAGCCTTTTCGACTTGGTAAGTAGAACTGCCCCACCAGCTTGCCAAAAGTTCAGAACACTACTGCAGGCCCGATTGATTAAAGAGCATTTATCAACCGGTGTCGCTATTCGTTGGGCCCCTTCCTATGCTCAAATTGCAGACAGTCTTACGAAAGTAATGGACATCGCCAACCTCCGTCAATTACTGAACGCAGGACGGTATCAGCTCCAAGATGAAGGTGAAATCCTTCGTCATCGATCAGATAAGAAAGCCCGCCTCGACTGGATCCAGACCATGCCTCTACTTCGCCAGCTCAGTGAAGGAAAAGCCAAGACGTCCTCACTGAATGCGTGACAGGTAGAAGTTCAAAGCCAGGAGCACCCACGCCGGGCCCTGTTGAATGTACCACCAGGGTCTGTCTCTGTCACATGTTCCACCTTTCGCTGCACCTTGGATGCCTCCTTCAGCCATAGGAGCGTTGACTCCTTTCGAAGTTGCTGGCTAGGTGGCGTCAGGAGACAGAACCCTGAGGAGTGTTCGTGATCTCAGAGCGCAGTGGAAAAGAGAGAGACATTTCGCGCCGGACGGGGATCTGGTGAGGAAGCGGTGCTTCCGGGTTGAATCCATTGTTGTGCATTGTGTTTGAGTGATCCCTACTCCGGCTGTTTCCGTTGCCAGTATCGGAAACCAACGTGGTTTCGATAGCCGTGTATGTGTGTACACAGGGATCCTGTTGGATTGTGTGTTTGATTTCCCTTTTAATTTGCAGGGGACCATCCATGCATGTGCTGTGAGCGATGGTCCAACGAAGCGGCCACAGTACATGCGGATATCACGGCTGATCACCGTGACGCACCTGCGATGGAAGGAAACCTAATTAGTAATGGACAAGCTGTTCCACTTCTGTGTTTTGCACCAAGCGTCTAATGCAGCGGCAAGTCACCTTGGCGTTTTCATGAGCTTGAGACCTTAACTTTTTTTCGAGAGCTTTGGAGGCCTTTGCACTTTTGAGGATCGCTCTCTTTGCACATACGCCCCTAGTTTCTTAGGTCTTTTCACTTAGGCTGGCGTGTGGCAAACCGCAACCAAATCAGCGCGCGTTTCTATACGTGTGTGTAACCCCTGGAATCAGAGGAAACCTGTGGACTTTAATTTGGAGGTATGCAGGCGATTGCAGGCTGCAGGGAAATTCATACTTCTGCAGCCAACGAAGGCGGCTAGAACATTGGACGTATCTGCTGTGATTACCACTTGCTTCCTTGTGGGCTCCTTCTGTCACTAGAACAACTTGCTGGCCTTTGCAGTGGTTCGGAGCACGGCAGTCATGCAGCTTTGTTCGTTGATCGCTTGTTTTCTGAGACTTGATACTGGAACTTTTGGTCTTGAAACTTTTTGAGACCTAGGCTTTCTTTTACGCCGGGTTTTCTTAGGGCTCGGAGCATTCATTTCGACTGCAAAATATTTTCAAGTGTGTGCGTTCAAAACGCGCAAACCTGACCAAGCGTTGGCGCCCATCCCTTGAGTTACGCAAACTCAACTTCCAGACAAAGTAGAAAATGTTTGAGTGTGTAGGATAGGACAACACAAGTTTCTTCCCCAGTACCTTCTTGACAAGCGGATGCTCATGAAGTTTTGCAGGCCAAGCGGAATGTCGCTAGCAACAACTGAGCAGACAGCCCTCGAACTCCAGCAGGGCATGGGCATCATGGCCTTGACAAACTGTCAACTATAGCGATTCGTGTAGATTCTTTTCTTGCGGGCTTGAGCTTCATTTAGCATTTTTGACAAAAATACTGGTTGGGTCCTTTCGCATGAGCCTTTGCATGGGTGCAACTCAGTAGTCTCACACCCTGGAGCGGGAATGCCAGCGCTTATCTCTGTCGCATGATGGAGAGTCTTTGCCTGGCTTGCCTGCCAAAGCAAGGGTTTCAACCAATATAGCTGGCGCACCAGTGAAGTCTGCCGGTTATTTGTCTGTCAGAGTCTTGCGTTGGGAAAACTGCAATGGTGTGATTCACATTCTGACTAGCTCATAAACCGTCCATGGATCGGAAGGTCTTAGGTCTAGGAGCTGACCTAATCACGGAATGATGTATGCGCTTGAATAGGTGCGTTAGAATTCGATGTGCGTGAGGTGCGTTTGCGCTTGAGCAGTGTGGATGCAGAGGGCTCCGCACGGACGATGGAGCTCTTTAAGCTGCAGGACACTTAAGTCCGATGCAATCTGGGCAATTCAATCCTGACGCTTAGATTGCTGAAGCACGCGGGCGTGACTGGCTATAATTCGTTGCTATTTACGGTACATTCACGCCTCTCGAAATCCTCGAAGTGCATTTCGACTGCGCAGGCTCACAAAATCTGCCTGCTGGCGGCGGGTGCTTCTAGCGACTGTGCTCTCGTTGTGGCGCCGTGCGCATTTTCGCACATGGCGGTGACTTTTCGTGGCAGGCGCAAGGGAAACCTCGGGTTTTTGTGCTTCAATTGGACTCGTTGTGACAGGTGCAAGGGATCGGAGCTGTTTTACTTTGAAATGCAGTTTTTGTGGCAGGTGCAGCACTTTGGACATGGTGGTGATCGTCGAGGAGCTCAGTTCGTGACAGGTGCAGTGAATCGTGACTTTTGGACATGTGCAGCTTTCGTGCCAGGTGCGCGCTTTGTGAACCTCGAAGTGCAGATTTCGTGACAGGTACAGCACTTTGTGAGGCTCGACGCGCAGAGTTCGTGACAGGCAGAGCAGTTTGTGAACCTCGATGCGCAGATTTCGTGGCAGGCGCAGCACTTGGTGAACCTCGACGCGCAGAGTTCGTGGCAGGCACAGCACTTTGTGTGAATCTCGACGCGCAGATTTCGTGACAGGTACATGTGCAGCGCTTAAATGAACCTCGACGTGCAGATTTCGTGACAGGTACAGCGCTATGTAAACCTCGATGCGCAGAGTTCGTGACAGGCGCAGCGCTTTGTGAACCTCAACGTGCAGATTTCGTGACAGGCGCAGCGCTTTGCGAACCTCGATGTGCAGATTTCGTGGCAGGCACAGCACTTGGGGAACCTCGAAACTTTGTGAACGGAGCGCTTTGTGCTCTCAGATGCTCACTCTCTCACTTGCCCTCATCACTCACACTCACGTATTCACACTCACACTCACTCTCACTCACACTCGCACTCACTCACTCACTCACTCACTCACTCTCACTCACTCTCACTCACTCACTCACTCACTCACACTCACTCTCTCACCCACACTCACTCTCTCACCCACACTCACTCTCTCACCCACACTCACTCTCTCACCCACACTCACTCTCACCCACACTCACTCTCACCCACCCACACTCACTCACACTCACTCTCACTCACACTCACTCTCACTCACACACTCACTCACTCACTCTCGCTCACAGTCACACTCACACTCACTGCCCACCACCTCCACGGTTACCGCGATCCCCACCTTCATCGCCACCATCACCTCTTTGGACCCCAATGCGTCTGGATCTCTACACTTTCTGCTTATAGACCTCACGTGTTTGGGGTCTCTTGCCGGGATAATTTTTCATACAAGTTCTGACTGGCTCAGGGCGAGTAGCATGCTAGCTGAGTTCTTCTTTGCTTTAGCAATTGGTAGTGGGGATGAGCTGCGTGCCTTAAACCTTGATATATCACACTAAGGGGGGGGGGGGGGGGG